CCCACTCCCCCTGCTTGTGTTCCCTCTCACTCTCTGTCAAATAAAATCTTTTTTTTTTAATTTTTTTAAAGATTTTTTATTTATTTGACAGAGAGAGACACAGCAAGAGAGGGAACACAAGCAGGGGGAGTGGGAGAGGGAGAAGCAGGCTCCCCGCGGAGCAGGGAGCCCGACGCTGGGCTCGATCCGAGGACCCTGCTGTCACGACCCGAGCTGAAGGCAGATGCTTAATGACTGAGCCACCCAGGTGCCCCTCTGTCAAATAAAATCTTAAAAAAAAAAAAAACAACTATTGCAAATAATAAGAATTTCATATGTTCTTCATAATAAAGCACTACAGTAGGTACCACCATTACTAGCTTCAAAGATGACTGCCACATGAAAGAGATCCAACATGGCAGATGAGAGACTAGGCCTACCCTGTACATTTATTTTGAAAAATAAATGAGATCTTTCATACACGTAAAGCACTTCCATAAATGGAAGCTGTTATTATCAACCCAGCACTAAACAGATTAGAAGATTAAAAAGGTAGGGTCCAAGTGGTGACATGTTGGGAGAGGCAATGGAAGTGAATTCCAACAGCACAGGCTCATGACTAGCAGGCGGAAGTCTGAGAGAAGAACCACAAAAACCTAGTGTGTTTATACTACAGCTTTATTTATAACAGCAAAATATTGGAAACCGCAGTAAAGCACTGATGAAATCAATTCTGACATAGTTACCTATAGATACCAACATGGGAAAAGATCATAGTACAAAAAGTCAGGGGCAAAATATGCAGAGCATGATCCCAAGGGAGGGCATACACAGAAACATGCTCTATTTTTATATACATGCTTTACTAAATGTGTAAAAAATATGCATTATTCCTCTTAGTGATTACTTTTTCAAATATGGGATTATGGGGGATTTTCATCCTCTAGGGTTATATAAAGGGTCTGTGAAAATAAAATTTTCAGAACAAAAAAATATATATCTAAAACAATTAAAGACAAAATTGAGTCATAATTTCTGATGAACTGACATTAAGATTTCACAAATGTGTATACATTTCAAAAAACCTCAGACAATACCACAACTCTAATCAAAACAGAATCAGCCTCATCAATAAAGCACAAGCAAAACCACAATTTAGCACAACCACTTCTATTTGCAAAGTACTTACATGTACCTTATCTTATTTGATTCTCACTCCAACCCTATGATTTAAGTAAAGCAGGGGAAGCTTTGCACAGTGGCAGTATCATAGCCAATGAGGTTTATCTGAGGCGCAATTATTGCTAATTGAAAACTAAGTAAAGCAGGGGTTTTGATTTTCATTTTAGAGCTGAAAAAATGGAGGCAGAGATGTCATATGACTTGCTCCAAGTCATACTGTTAGCAAGTGACAGAGCCAGGAACAATGCTGAAGCCATCGTGACCCCAAGGCTTTTAGGGGCACCCCTTCCCCACTACCAAACCTATCAATTTCTAAGCCAGCAAGCCTGTGGGTGGAAGGTATGTTCAGTCTATCTCACATCTGGCTCTTTGTTAGAGTCTCTGGGGAGTAGTGACTGTTGTCAAGGGGGCACATGATCCACAAAACCACACAGCCAGGCGCACAGGAAGGACACTGTCACCCCAGGCAAGGGCAGGGGTAGCTAGTGCTGCTTGGGCCTGACCAGGCACACACACAATCCTGGGACCAGAACCGCACTCACCATTGACAACTCTCTTGCACTGAAGCATCTTGAGGTCAATCAGCTCCTGCAGAGGAATCAGAGGGCACTTGTCAGTGCTGGTCATGTAGGTCCTGGGTACAGGGGCAGGGACCATCACTGGGAATCATTAATGGGGGGGTCACTTGGCCTATCACCCTACTACTAACAACAAATCATGGCTTTTGGGGAATGTAGTGCTGACCTCCCCACCTAAGGCAAGCAGGAGCCTGAGTGATCTACCCTCAATCAGCTGCTCTCCCCAGGGACCTTGGAGATGTTGGGGGCCTAGAAAGGGTGAGCCACTCAGGAGCCAGAGAAAAGACAATAGCCCAGATTATGGACACGTTCCTCACCTACTAGTCTCAGTTCCAGTCCATCCCCTCAAAGAACCTACTATCTCATCCCTACGCAAACAGCAGACAGTGATGGGCTCCCAGGAAATGTCCAAGGACAAAAGTGGGACCAGTGAATAAAAGCAGAGGGAGGAAGATTTGAGATCAATTCTATAAAGATTTTTCTAAATGTATTTACTTGAGAGAGAGAGAGATAAGGACAGAAAGCATGAGTTGGCGGGGGGGAGTAGGGAAAAGCAGGCTCTGCAAGGCTGGATCCCGAGACCTCGGGATCATGACCCAAGTTGAAGGCAAATGCTCAACCGACTGAGCCACGCCAGGCACTCCACGGTCAATTCTAGAACTCTTGTCCAACATGGATCACACTGTGGAAATAAAAGGGGCAAGCTCTTGAGCTCTGGACATTTTCAAACAGACTCAGGAAAGAAAGGAGAAAGAGGTGTCTTCCAAATCAGGATCATGAAAATGAAGGGAAAGCTCCTGTCTCCTGAAGGACTGAGATTCTCTGCCTCTTAGTAGGAGACAACTGTTCTGCTTTGTTCAGTGATCATTTCAAGAAATGTGTAAGAAAAATCACAAGAGCCATGTACCTGCCACACTGCCCAGAAGCTCATGCCCAGGGGTTCTGTGGGTCCAGAAAAATATAGGAAGAAACTCTGCCCCATAATGACTACCTATGAGCCTCAGCAAGTCCCAACTCCAGCCAGATGAGCCTCAGCAAGTCCCAACTCCAGCCAAGTGGGCACAATAGTCTTTGCTCCCTCATGGGAGCATGGAGGGCTAACGTGGCCAACGGGCACCTATGGCATCCACAGGACTCCCCCCAGCATACTCATCATCCAGGACAGTACACACCGTAATGTTTCTGTGGCATTCAGGTCACCAAATACCTGATGTCCACCAGGTCTGGCCAAACAAATCACCACCACCAAGTAGTTATGGATACACGGTTGGCATCTAAGCCCCAAGAACCTGTGTGGTGTCCCAAGGGATGGACACAGCCCAACACAGAGCCCCTATAACCAGTGATCTTAGTTGCAGGGCCAAGCAAAAACGCAAGTGGAAAAGTGGGCAGCATTGAGTGGCCTGTGCTCATAAAAAGAAGCTCTGCAGCCAGGCTGAACTTCAGCTGGAAATGAGCAGGGTAAAGCAAGGCAAGCCCTTGCTGGGGCCTCCAGCTCTGCCAGCAGTAACTTGTCCTCCTTGGGATTCCCAAACCCCCCTCTGCCAAGTCATTTACTACTTCTTCAAATGCCAGTTACAGATACCCCTGAAATATCTTTACCATTAGACCATGAACCCCCTGAGGAGGATCCTGTGTCCACACAAGGGTAGCTTTGAGGACCCAGGCCAGGTAACCTGAGCCCCAAGAAGAGGAGTTAAGGCAAAATGGCCCTTGAAATGTCTTATTTTCTTTTCAGTCTCCCCACCACACCAAAAAGCCTTTGGGGCCTGGATATCGTCTCATTCAATCTTCCAATCACTAGCATCTAGCACATTTCAAGGGCTCACTAAACATCTGCCAGAGCCACTTCAAGACCTAGCACGCAGCAGACATTCAACTGTTGAAGTGGAGAAATTAAATTGTCACCAATAAAACCACAAGTGTGTCTGCTCACCCACACACCCTCCACACCCCTGTTCATCCATTTTATTCATTTCAGTTAGTTCTGCGGGAATAAAATGGAACCTCACGGTTTTTTTCACTGTATTTCCTTAATTAGTGAAAACAAATATTGTTTTTCCAAGTGATAGAGCTTATGATCTGTGTATCTTCACAGCAAACTGCCTTTTACATCTATACAAGTTGTAGGAAAAAATCTATTCTTTGTCAAATTGGATACTGAGTTTTTCCGTCCTAGTTATCACAAATACTTTTTTTTTTTAAGATTTTATTTATTTATTTGACAGAGAGAGACACAGCAAGAGAGGGAACACAAGTAGGGGGAGTGGGAGAGGGAGAAGCAGGCTTCCCGCAGAGCAGGGAGCCCGATGCGGGACTCGATCCCAGAACCCTGGGATCATGACCCGAGCTGAAGGCAGCCGCTTAATGACTGAGCCACCCAGGCGCCCCACACAAATACTTTTCTTCTATCACTACTATTTCCTCAGTTTGTTTTTTTTTTACCTATACTCTTTTTTCTATTTTTAATCGAAGTATAGTTGACATATAATATTATGTTACTTTCAGGTGTACAACACAATGGTTCAACAATTCTATATGTTATGAAAAGCTCACCACAAGTTTAGTTACCATGTGTCACCATACACAGTTATTACATTATTATTGACTATATTCCCTAGGCTGTATTTTTCAACCCCATGACTTATTTATATTATAACTAGAAGTCTGTACCTCTTAATCCCCTTCACCTACTTCACCCATCCCCCAACCTCCTCCCCTCTGGCAACCACCAGTTTGTTCTCTGTATTGATGAGTTTGTTTCTCTTTTTTTATTGTTGTTTGGTTTATTTGCTTTGTTTTTTAGATTCCACAGGTAGTAACATCATACAGTATTTGTCTTTCTCTGTTGATTTATTTCAATTAGCATAATACCCTCTAGGTCTATCCATGTTGTCACAAACTTCAATTTTTTTTCAAGGTCAATAGAGAAATCAATTATATATATATATATTTTTTAAAGATTTTATTTATTTATTTGAGAGAGCGAGAATGAGAGAGAGAGAGAGAGCACATGAGAGGGGGGAGGGTCAAAGGGAGAAGCAGACTCCCTGCTGAGCAGGGAGCCCCATGTGGGACTCGATCCCGAGACTCCAGGATCATGACCTGAGCCGAAAGCAGTCGCTTAACCAACTGAGCCACCCAGGCGCCCTATATATATATATTTTTTAAGATTTTATTTGTTTATTTGACAGAGAGAGACACAACGAGAGAGGGAAACCAAGCAGGGGGAGCGGGAGAGGGAGAGCAGGCTTCCCGCGGAGGAGGGAGCCTGATGTGGGGCTCAATCCCAGGATCCTGGGATCATGACCTGAGCCGAAGGCAGATGCTTAACAGACTGAGCCCTACCCAGGTGCCCCCAGAAATCAATTATATTTTTATTGATATAAAGCAATATATCATTTAGAATAATAAGCAATAAACAATAAACAAGCAATAAACAATTGGAAAATAAAAGTAAAAACAATTCAATTTATCATATTTAAAATATGATATATTCAGGGATAAGTTTAACAAAAGATGTATAAGACTTGTACACTGAAAACTAGAAAACACTGCAGAGAGAAACTGAAGTTGAAATATATGGAGAGATATAACATGTTGATGGATTGGAAGACTCATTATTATTAAGATGTCAGTTATCTCCAAATTGTTCCTTAGTGTCTTTAGAAGAAAACACAGGAGGATAGCTTGACAACACTGAGAACATCTTGGTGAAACAGTACAAAATATTATTTTTATTATAAATCTTGACACTCAAGTATATATCTTTTTACTATTCTGTGTAACAATATAGGAAGTATGCATAAATCACTTGTGCTACAAACCAGACCATGATGACTGTCTCAAGGAAAAGCACCTGTACAATTATTTTAGTTGGGAACTGAAGGAAATACTTTTCTAAAAAAAATAGAACAGCACTTCTACTTGAAAGAATGCCTCGCAAACTATAGCAAATGAAACATATCTGGCAGACTTTTTTTTAAATCTTTTTTAAAATTTTTTTATTAACATATAATGTATTACTTGTTTCAGGGGTACAGGTCTGTGATTCATCAGTCTTACACAATTCACAGCTCTCACCATAGCCCATGCCCTCCCCAATGTCCATCACCCAACCACCCCATCCCTCCCACCTCCCACCACTCCAGCAACCCTCAGTTTGTTTCCTGAGATTAAGAGTCTTTTACGGTTTGTCTCCCTCTCTGGTTTTGTCTTGTTTCATTTTTCCCTCCCTTCCCCTATTCCCCTATGATCCTCTGTCTTGTTTCTCAAAATCCTCATAGCAGTGAGATCGTATGACACTTATCTTTCTCTGACTGACTTATTTCGCTTAGCATAACACCCTCTAGTACCATCCATGTCATTGCAAATGGCAAGATTCATTTTTGATGGCTGCATAATATTCCTGTGTGTGTGTGTGTGTGTGTGTGTGTGTGTGTGTGTGTGTGTGTGT